TAACTGACGGAGAAGCGAGATACATACCCCAACCAGCCGCAGCCATCCAGCTAAAGATACGATCATTCGCGTCAAAAACGCAAAAGACACTGATCAAGTACACCATTGCTGCGACGCACAACCGAGGGTGAAGGATTGGACTTGCTACGTCAACTGGTAACCGGGTGATGTCCGGTCCCATAGGTACTCGCGACGGTCCAAAGATGCTCCGGTCTCGTATGACCATCCCCATAGCATCCAACGCGTCCAGGAAGGCCTCAGCAGCTCTGAGTTCATGCTCCCGAGCCACACTTGCGTGGCCTGTCTTTGCCAATTTGCGGTACAGAATCCCAAGCAAGAAATATTCCAAGAACAGCTCCGGTTTTATGCCGCATGCAGAACGTTCAGGGGATGAGGCGTAGGAGTTCTTCAGGTCCGCGATCCGTTTCTTCGCCTCGGTGACGTTCTCAGCAGCAGGTTTCTTGAGAATGTCGGCGCGAAGAGCTCGAGATTCAGGAGTATCCGTACGGTCCGCCTTGCACAATGCGCAAATGCAAGGCACACCCCACTTACGTTCCACGAAGGCGGTACGCTCTTCATAAGAGTCTGTGACGGGACAGAAGTTGAAGGTAACCTCTTCCCCCTGCCGCATTTCCTTATTTGCGCGCACCATCATCAGGGTGCCAAAGAAGACCTTAGAAGCCGTCGGGACGCAGGAATGGTTGCAGAAAGAAGGGATTTCGTATACGGCCAAAGGTTTGTCACGAATGGGTGTCTGTGGCTGCCGAAGAGTCTCTGGGTTGAAGGGAGTTCCAACGTCTTCTAGCTCAAAAGCGTTCAGAGAACATATCCCCTCAATACGTGCAATATCAATATCAGAGGCTGGCATGTGAGGGTGTGACATTGGTCTAGAAGGTGCATGGATGCCTGGGTAGGGCGCGGTAGATGGGAAGCGACTGCCTGCATCGATAGCATGCAGAATACGTGCGAGGTCCGGGTCATCCCAAACTCGAGTGACAACTTCAGCGACAAGGGAGTAAGTCGATTTCTTTCCAGTTTCGTCCGTCAGGAAATTGTGGGAGAGGAACAATTCTCGCCCCTTAGGGGGATCTCTAGGGAAGGACGAGGCTATGGGAGTAGCCACCAACTATCATAATATAATGTTACGGCTTGCTTGGAAACTGAGAAAGAGCACGCTCACCAATATTTCACCTTGATCTACCTTGCGTGTAGTGAACACACCCATTCTTCCATCAAAAGACTTGACTTGGATTGGTCCACGATGGTGAGCCGCGTCTGGTCGGAATACGGGGTCCCTGGAGGCTCGGTATAGCGAGGGCCAGTCGTACTTCCCGGTATCACGCTCTCGGGTGCGTATCGTCGCTTTGGTTGCGTACCCCTGCACATCTTGGTTGGAAGGGAAGAGCTTTGCGGTCTGAATTACCTCTGCATAATTCTGCGACCAGTAGTAAGCTTTGATAAGTCGCAGAACGGTCTTGAGTTTGAGTGACTCGGACGAGTCGTCCAGTTTCATAGCTGAGACTATCTTGGTATCCTCTATGACGGATTTGTACCAATGAAGCTCTAGATTGGCGGCCGCCCTGTTTAGGAGTAGCAAGTGATTATCTGGCTCCAGTTTCAGTCCTTCAGAATACGCCATAGATGCTGCAAGCCACTCTTTCTTCTTGAAACAGTCGTTGCCACGATTCTTCCACACCAAGGATGTAGCTGCGGGAGGTATTTGGCTGACAGAGTTCGTTGACCACGAGACGTTCGCAGAATGAGGAGATTGCACATCCAGGAAGACGGTGTCCGATGGGGAGTCCACCTGGATCAGCGGAGTGTTATTGTCTGGATCGAAGATGCACTTCGGCTCGCGGATAGCGAGAACACCACCGAGAGGGAACATGACGTCCAAATAGAAAAGTGGGACGTCCAGGGTGAACGGGTAGTAAGCTACGGACACCTTTGATGCCCTACCTTCTGGGTCCTCAATGACGAAGACTGCGCGTACAGCCCGAGCTATGACGAAGGGTTTCAGTCGGTCTTCACGCAACGAGATATCAGCCCCACTTACCTGGTGAGCTTATGATTCGGCACAGTAGATACTTTCCCTACTGGATGCATCAGCAAAGGTCAAGGGCAGTTGTGGTAAAGGCGCACTTTATGTCGCGTCCGCATCATCAGACTGGATATCGTGACTGGGGGACGTTGAGTACACCGCAAGAACACGGGTGAAAGAGTCAGAGGGGTAACTTACTACGTTTCAAATTCTCTACAGATTCGATCGAATGCTCTGGCATCGTACCAAGTAACGCCTGGCGAGGGCCTCCATCTCCGTCCCGTGACCTTAGAGAGGCAACCTGTGAGAGGAGCATCTCTCTGGAGACCTCCGGTGCTTTCGCCGGTGGAAGCTTCTGTTCACGAAGGTAGGACTCCTTTGCACGTTCCAAGGCCTTCTCTGCCTCTGCCATGAGCTCGGTGGTGTTAGACTTTGAAGAAATACCGCGAGCGGCTCCCGAGGAGACAGGTTGGGCGGCATTTGTGGTTGTAGCTGGAGTTTCCCTGATCTGGTCCACCATGTCCGGAGGGATGATTTTGGCGGCTACCATAGCGGCGAGCTCTGCGTCAGAGCAAACCAGCTTCGTCATGGTAGTTGGGGAGTGAAATATGGAAGAGAGGTATCAAGTGTCAGCCACCACCGCGAAGGGGTTTTAGGGGGTGTCCCAATTTGGTAGTGGCTGACGTTAGGATTTGACACCACAGTTCCAGAAGGGAGAAGAGCATTTGCAGAAAGAGCAATGAAAAGAAAATATTGACAGTTTTATACTGACCTGCCCCAACGCAAAGCTTACCTCGTCGAACGTAGCTCCGGTAGCGCGGCGTCAGAAGAAACAGCAAAAGAGCATGGTAGATTCACCGCCTAGATGACAAAGTCCTGAATAACTGTTGCAGACCTGACTGCACAACTCCCGAGGCAACCTGTCCAACAACCTGAGCGTCGCTGATACTCTTCGCAACATTCTCCAGAGTTGAGGCAGCTAACCCTACTCCTATACTCCCCGGGGTTCGGTCCAGACGATGGCTTCCAGCGGACACCATCAACGCGGCCTTAAGGGTGTCAAGCTCGTTGGCGACCTCCAGGCCAACGGAGCGGGCCCAGACTATTGGCATTGCGGTGGTTGAATAGAGCTTGTGCAGTTTGTCAACGGCGGACATCATCTTGTGGTTTTCAAAGTACCGTGCGCGAGAGTACGGCATCAAGGATGTGTATGAACCTGTTCATTATCGCGTTTAATTGGATGCGCATACAGTCATACGGCAGAAGGCGCACCGATGTCACCACCACGAGAGGCGGAGTCGTGAATGCACTTTGCCAGCGCTTCCGCATCTGCAAGACCAAGATTCAAGCCCTGCCCTGCAAGAGGATGGACTGTATGCGCGGCGTCGCCAATAAGCACCGTCCGTGACCCTTTCCCTTCACCAACGTAGGAATCGGCATGGGAGAAACGCAGCGGAAAGGACGCGACCGTGCCCGGTTGGATGGATTTAACTAATGGTGGATACGATTCAGATCCTTCTGGTGGGATGCCCGCCTCAGCCGCAGCGGATAGAGAGGAGAGGGCAGAGTGAGTGTCGATGGAATGTGAATGTTCCCGAAAGAGAATCTCTTCTCGTAACTGTTCCGAAGTGATTGGTGTGCCCCCGTTGTGCGCTTCGATGAGCCGGTCGTGCAGGTATCTCATGGATACTTCCGGGAGACGGAAAGCAGCGTTAACCATATCAACGAGGACCGAAGGCTGGACTGCTTTGAGAGCATTGGCCAGATGTGGCTTCGTCGACCAGACCATGGTGGATGCCGTCTCAGATATCGGGAGGAAAGCTATAGGACCAGTCGGAAGGAATCGTTGGTATGCCACCGTGTTTGGAGTCATGAAGGGACTGCGCGGTGCGTGAAAGAGTGTTGCTACGATTCCATGGGTATCATAGGCCCAACCGTAGGATTGGATACCCGCATAGGTCCGTACGGGGGAATTAAATCCGTCTGCACCAACCTGAAGTCAAGGAAAAAGTTGGTCGCGCGACTATGTACTGGGTACTCCGGACCTACCAATAGTCGTGCACGAATCACCCGTCCATCAGAGAGATGGAGCAATGGCCAAGGGGATCCCTCCCTGTCATCCGTGGTGATTGACTCCACTTTCACCTTGTCAACGACTTCCACACTCGAGCTTTCTTCCAGTTTGCGTAGGAGAGCCCGCTGGAGGTTCAGGTTTTCCGTCAAACGAGACAGTTCAGATACCGTTTGGCCACCTAGTGACATCTCTGCTGCAGAGAACGTAATCCGGGCACCCGAGACACCATCCCAGACCTGAAAGGTTCAGTTGGAAACAGCTTGCAAGGAGGGTAGATAAGTACCTGCATCTCCTCCACTGGTCCCGTCCTTGTTTCATCAACATAAGACCAGGCACCTATGTCTACGGCACATTATTTCAGTTTGCGCACTACCGTCGAGTTGAAGCGAGTATACTCACTGCGGAGAAATTGCTGTGACGCGTTAGTTATCGAACTGACGCGGTTCGAGAATGCGTCTGGAGGGAGTTGCCATGCTTTGGTCTTGGACAAGTCTCCAGCCTCAATCAGAGTCACTCGCATGGATTCCTGCACGACTTTTGAGGATCCTGTATAGAACAAGACTGTTGAAGCGCTTTCCTTCACATTGCTCAGACATTGCGACTCACCTAATGCCCCAGCCAATGCCAGTCCTGCAGGTCCTCCGCCAACGATGACAACATCACTATGTTCCACATTGCTTGAGGACGCATACTGTCTCGCTGCACTACGAGAAAGGTGTTTTCGTATGGTCTTGGCCGTCAGACGTTGGGTCGTCACCAGCATTGTGGGTAGGTTGGGGTGACGGTCTCGGACTCGGAGCAAGTTTCAAGTTGCTGGACCGTGGCGGGAATTACTATATTTAGATCACTCCTGCTACAATATCAAGGGAGCTTCGGCCTTCGCACGGGTCAGTGGCGTAGTTGGTTATCGCATCTGTCTTACATAATCACATTGAACCTGTGATTTCGAGCACAGAAGGTCTTCAGTTCGAGCCTGGATTGACTCATGTCTTTTTCCGCCCTCTTGCTTTCACGCCTTAAGCTGCGAATGTTCAGTTGGAGAGCTATCAATATACATTAAATTATTTTTTGCGACGGAGCGGGAGGAAGGAATGAGTAAATACGGGAATCAGGTCCGGTTTAGGAATCTTACAGTACGATTCTTTCGCAGAGAAAAAGGACGTGAAGAAGGGGCGGGAGAAAGCATCCGGCTAGATAGGATGTGAAATATGGGAGGTTGCAAGGGCAAAAGTGTCGTAAGAGTGGTGGATGGTACAGTATGCAAGAGGGTTCAACGCTCAGCAGAAGAGGTAAGCTGAAGCTAAGGCGGGAACCATGAATGCGTGTGGAGCATGCCAACCAAGGAATGAGAGTATGAAAAAAAAGTCATGAATTGCATATGCGACTGTGGAATGATGGGTGGCGGGACCTTTGAGAACCCCGGAAACAACTTACGGTAAATTGCAGGGATATCTAGATGGGAATGGGATGATGGATGGGATGAGTGAACGGTGAGACACACATAAAGATGTAGAAAAAGAAGGATATCGTTCGAAGAGGGAAAAAAGCGCACAACATGGGGCACACCAATGAGAACAGTCGAGGGAAGGGGAGGGACATCGGAGAGGATTACGGGTGCGAGTCCCAAGGAGAAGTGAAAGTATTCGCGCGAAAAGAGAAACAAGACAAATCAGAAGCGTCCATAGTCCGATCACTTTCTCCTCTGCTGGTAGTATGCCAGCGGGAGATCCTCCTCTTCACTATTTGCCCTCAGGTGTGATGGTGTCACAGCCTGCACACTTCCACCCTTTCTTACCTTCCCGTTCGCCTGCTGCGGGGCAGGCGCGGCAGCGGTGGCGGATAGTGAGCGACCAGGTAACCGTGCACTCGGCTGATATGGCTGAGGCGGTTGCTTCTCCTGTGCAGGTGTGTACCTCGGTTGTACGGGTGGTGACCTTGCTCGCCGCTGACCAGAGTTATTTGTGTTCGTTGGCGGCGACATCGTCCTCGGAGGAGGTGACGGGGAAGATTGCTGCGGACGGGCACTATGTTGTGGTTGAGACATCCACCCACCCTGTTCGACGTTCACGGGAGGCATTGCCCCAGGCGGCAACGAAGACGATGAATGGTTCATCGGATACGCCTGACCGTGCTGGTGAGGGTTCGCTGAACCATTATAATATTGTTGTGCTTGTTGTGGTTGCGGCTGGACCAGTTGAACAGACGAGTACGAGTTTGGTTGCCCCGAAGGTCCACGCCCTTGCGGATGTTGATAGCCAGCCACAGCGGGAGGAGCTGACGGTGACCTCTGCTGACCGTAACCGCCGTACTCCTGCTCCATCGCCCGGTGTTGCATGTCGTACTGCGGTCCACGAACAGGCATCTCAGCTCTCCGACTGGCAGGTGCACCGGCTGCATTGTTCTTCGTCAAGCTACCACGTCTCGGTTCCCTCTTCTGCTCAGCTTGCCGTTCCCTCTCCTTCTCGCGCTCCGCCTTCTCATGCTCCTCCCGTTCCTTCCTTTCACGCTCAGCCTGAGCTTGCTGTTCCTTCTCCGCGGTAGCCCCGTTCGCAACGGGGGTATTCACGGGGTTCGCGGGAGTAGCATTAGCCGCGGGGGAGGTTGCCTTGTTATTGATGACACCCAAGTACCAGAACATAAGATTGCTGATGAGGACTTGCTCGTAAAGTGGCCTGCGAGGGTTCGCCAGCTTGATGTGACTTAGGCGGTAGATGGCCCGCTCGACGTGGATGGGATACCGCGAGTATCCGTTGACCGGCTCAGGGGTCGGCGACGGCGCTCGGCTCCTCGACGACTTCGGTGCACCCAGCAATGCGGCGGCGGTCTCACGACCCGAGCCACCAAGGCCCATCGGCGGAGCGACTGGCTCCTCCTGCTTCTTCTTCGTCCCGAATAGTGAGCCGAAGAATCCGGAATCCTTCTCTTTCTCCTTTTCCCCACCCTTGCCCTTCTTCCCGCCCTTGTCTCCGCCCCATTTCCCGAATAGTCCTTTCTTATCCTTATCCTTCTCGCGACGGTATTGTTCGGGGGTAGGAGAGGTGGATGGCTGGTAGAGCGCTGATTCTTGGAGGGAGGGTCGCGGAACTGGAATTGGCTGTACCGCTGGGGCGGGTGACGCGGATGGGGACGGTGTTTCAGGTGATGGCGTTCGTTCCACAGGGGGTATCTCTGGTGCAGGCGGAGATAGGGCACGTTTTGGCTGAGGATGATGGAGGACGGGAGGTATGGGCGACTCGATGGGGAAGTCCTGCTCGCGTGGTTCCGGCTGAGAGACGACTGGAGGAAGGAACTGGCCTAACGCTATGGGTTCGGGCTCGCTGAATAGAATCGTAGGATCTGTTTCATCAGGATCGGGACTGGCGTATGCGTCGTATATCGACGATTCCTCGCTGTATGAATCTGGTCGCGGGAGAGGGGGCACCGAGGGGATATCTGACTCCCCGCTATGTCTGGTTGGAGAGGATGGATCGCCATGATCACTTGACGACCTGTCGCTTGAAATTCGGTGGTCGGCTGTCTTTGCGCGTGCGGAGGAGGCACGACGGGCACGATTCGAAGTAAATCTATGAGGGCCATCCACCGTTCCGGCTTTCCTAGTCCGAGCAGCACGACGCAGAATTTGACCAGGTCTTGGCACAATAATGGGAGAATCTGCTTCGTCGGCCATATCTGACGAGTCGTCCAAGTGACCAAGAGCTGCCCGGACATGAACATAGGATGGGGCCGAAGCATTGTGCAGACTCACCCGATGGGGACACGTTGAGACTGAGACTTCGCCTAAGCACGCTCCGCAATCTGCTTGGATCGTCACTCGTCGACGCCTCCTCCGCCAACTCCTCTAACTTCTGCAGATCACTGATAGTAAGCTGGGGACCGGGATTTGAGAAGACGCTAGTGCGTCTGCGTATAGGGAGTACTTCCTCGTCCTCAATACCGTCATTAGCCGATGGCTTGTACTGTCTGCTCAACATCGACCTCTTCCGTCCCAAGCCTCCTCCGACTGAACTGACCGAGCTCGACCTGCTAACCCCAGCAATCGCACTACCGTCTGAGGGAGCTCGAGCGTGCTCCTTCAGGAAGGCCCTGAATTCAGCAGGTGCGATCTCCGGATGGAGACGTGCTGGAACCCAGAAAAGATGTGAAGGGTCGTCAGCACCATCGCTTACAACGCCTTCACTGCTATCTTCGTGTGAGCTGCTGCTGGAGTCGTCTGTGGCGGATGGCGTCCAGTAGCCGCTGGATGTAGGAGATTGCGGTGATGCAGAAGGTAAGTCAGGGTCCAGGATGGGTCCTCCGGCCGTTGAGCGTCGTCTGATATCTCGGAGGGTTTCGACCTCCCGAAGAATCTCGAACTCGGAGGGCTGCATTGTGTGTTATGGCGGGAACGGCAACTTGGCGCAGACAATTGATGGGGGTGCTATGCGGGTCGGAAAGGAGTGCGTCGAGGTCGTCTTGAGCGACGTTTGAGTCGTCGGCGTCGTTAAAAAGAGCGAGCAACACTTGACGAGGAGGACGAGAGGGATGACGAAGAGAGGAATGTCGGCAACACACGCAGTTGTGCCTCTCTTGCTCCAGCGCTTTATCCGGAAGACGCCCCAAATTGATCTCGCTCCGCCGCCGGGCTTTTGCTTTCCTCTCCTTTCGTCAAATAAAGATTCTTAACTTTCAGTTCATCTCATTCATCTATGAAAACATACGCCCACATATATCGAGGTCGTGAGTCAACCAACGTCCTTCTGGAGCTACAGACACCCACCGTTGTCATGGTGATTCTGTTGTTTCGACATCGAAACTGTTACCGCTCTGAGCTCTTCCGAATTGCCCCATTGCAGGACAAAGGGAACTCGCAGAGTTCAAACCAACAACTGATCACGAGTCGGCTGCGGACGCTGCAAACCGGATCCGATAGATGACAAGCCGTGCGTAAACCACACGACACACTTCTCACAAGATGCCGTCCTGATGTTGATTTTGCCTCGCAGTATGGACCTCGAGGCGTATTCGCTCCGTCACATTGCTTATATGAAGTAGCATGTAAGTTATGTCAGGAACAGAGTGTCCTTAAACACCCCAGCCTCTTTCAGGTGAATATCACCATCCGGGAGTGTACTTTCCGAAGCCCCACGTCTTCTGCAAGAGATCCCCATTCGCACCCTTCTCTTTCCCGTCCTCAAAACCTGGTACCTATACCCCTGTCGTCGCTCCCTGTCCACCTGCCTATCAACACAACTGTCAGTTTCAAGATTGTCATATCCCGTCTACGCCGGCGACTCTCAAGTTCGTACACTCTTGTTCGACGATCACGTTATACCCATTATGAATCCCAGTCCTTTTTAGTTATTATTTTACAATGTCGTCTGCCTCTGTACAGTGTAGATCCCACAAACGCCACCTTCGCTGTCCCTTCTCGAAAAGGAAGCTGGACAGATGCTCCAGCCAAGCAGTGTCAAACAACATGCCACGTGGATATCCTGTCTTGCGCCTGTGGAACGCAGGCACTTGATAGAGCTACCTTGTGCTCGTACTTCCAAATAATTTCCTATGTCTTACTCCTACCGGGAGGACCCGTGATATTTGTCTGGCTCTCGCAAAGAAAACTTCTCAACCCCAACGGAAATTTGTTTTCCTTATGTGCGCAATCGTTGGCGAGCCGATATGTAATCCTGCTCAGCGCAAATGATTGCTTTAACTTAAAAGCCGCGGGGCAATGCATGTGTACATATGTGATGACGATGAACAGGCAGCAGACAGTTGGTATTGCTAAACGACTCGATCAAAGCGGGCCCTTCCCCCTCGTTACCACCGATACCGCCGAGAGCTCGAGTACTACTATCAGAATGCGGAAACTCCTCTTGTAACAACCGTGAGATCACACTGAGAACACGTTCAAACCATGCGCGGCGGGCTGCTGTGAAGGGTGGCGGCCAAGCATTTTAAGAGGTTCATTCCGGCCAAACCTTAATGCGTTTTGGCTCGCAACCGGACG